TTGGGTAAACTTCCAGCCCTTCTTATTCCTCCTGCCCATTCTTGTGGCTGCCAGAACCACTGCATGAACTGGGGCTGCAGCGTCTTCAAAGGGGCCTTCTGCAATAGCCACTGCAACAGGCAACACCCAGCTCCTTGCGTCTGTTCAGGAGAGAAAATGAAGCTGAAGGTCTGAGTGCTGGGAACACAATGGCTGTCTGTGGTTTTCTGCTCAAGCAGAGGGTTGGACTAGAAGACCTCCAAGGTCCCTTCCAACCCTGTTATTCTATGCTCTGTGTGCATAGTTGAACCAATGATGGGTGTCTTGAGCCTGATTGTATGTGCAAATAAAGCTCTCTCTGAAACCATGGTCTAGCAGATGCCCACAGATCATCTGTATCAACTACATTCTCTTTGTCTGCTTTGGGGTTTACATCTCTCATTATTTCCAGGGATACTTCAGACCTTTTCTCAAAGAGATGAGTAGCCCAGGTGAAAAAGAAGTTGCAAGGACTGCTAAAACAAACCCAAAATACACCCCCCCAGCTCAAAAGTCTTCCCTTATCTCAGCATTAATGACCTGCTTGCCATTGGTTAGAAAATAAACAGCAGCAAAAAAAAAAGCACCAGAAAAGCAGCTATGTATGTTTTTGAACCGACACTTCCCTTGGTTGCAGAGGGCCACCAAAGCCACAGTGGGGAATGCACAAGCACAAGAGTGTAAACAGTGCTGCCAGGCACTATGACACAAAACCGGAAGAGGAAGTTCACACACACAATGAGCCACTGAAGCTGGCAAATGTCCAGACAGATCTCTCAATGTGAAGGCAGGGAAAAGCAGAGAAGAGAAACCTGAAAGAGGGCACAGCAAAGAGTTCTTTGTGGTTACTGTGCGTCTTTGAGGACACACAGTGTGCCAAGGCACTGCAGTGCAGGAGTCCAGAGACCCGAGGAAAGGAGGCCATCTGCTGCTTGCCATCACTGGGCGTGGAAGTAGATGGGTTTCACTTTTCCAGAAAGGATCTTGGGGACCTGCACCGAGATGATCTCAGCCATCATTTCAGGGTAGTCGACGCTCACCATGTGTGACTTCACCAAGAGGTCAAATGTAAACTGATGCAGTTCTCTGGCGATCTAAAGGAGGAAAAGGGAGGTTGTCACACGGAGGCATCCTTGTCTTCCAGGGACTAGTGACTGCACACTCAGAGGGACCTTCTGCCCTGAGGGCTGCCACCTGCACTCAGGAGGACTGGGGAGCCACCGGCGGTTCCAAAAGTGAAAAGTTTGTGGTTGATTCAAAGGGAAGGGGGAAGAATACCCAGGGATCCCTCATATCCCATTGCCCTGGCTGGACTTGTGTTGTAAGAACATTTTATTCTCCTGAAACCAGAAAATATGCAACATTTTGCAGGGTGTGACTTTCTTTTGTGTTTTGATGGAGCTTCTAGAGCTACACATGGCAAGCAGTGCCCAACATCATCTTCTTCTCACCATCTGAGCCCACCATCAAGGCAAAAGCTCATCTTCAGTCAGAAGGGCCAGGCCATTTTGCTCTGTGGCCAAGGGCTGCCCCAGAATGTGGCCCAACATGATGATGTCCATGGAAAAGGAGTTGCTGCCAGATGCCCCATCTGGTCCCTCTCAAAGCTGAAAGGCTTCTACCGGCACCCTCTTAACTCAGCATTCCTCCCCCCTCCCCCTCTCAAACTCAGACGGAATTTACTTTTCTTCCCTAAACCCTGCATAAAACACCTCCCTCCTTACTTCCCCACCATCCCTTCCCCATGCCACTTTCTGAAATATTAATGTGGAATAATTCCAGACATTTTACACTTGCTTTGAGGCTGAATGCTCCTGCAGCCTCAATATTCAACATTCTCTTCCCCTCTGTTGCATGGAGCCAGCATCTGGAAGTGCTGCATGTACCCCCTTATAACGGCAGCTAGGGACCCAACAGCATCCCCTGTTCCGATCCACGGAAACTTAAGGGATGGAGTTTCCCCAAGGAGCCTCCCAGACGGGCCCTCGGAAGGCGACTGATGGAGCTTGCTCTGAGCCAAAGAAACAACACTGAGGAAGACTTAAGGAGAGGAAGGGACTCTTTTCCCATGCTGCACATGCCTGTTGAGTGGTGGACCAGAAGCCCCAGTCTAGAAGGATAGAACAGTAACTAAACTTTCTTTTAAATTTAATTTATTTAATACTAATATAGCAACAGCCTTGTCTACAATGTTTAAAGATACCTAGAAATGTATATGTACCCCTTTGGAGCTCTCTGGGGGATGAGCCCAAGGATTTGGAGGCTGCTTGCAGCTCTGGGGCTTGAGGTGATGTACCTCTGTACATTGTACACAAATCTGGAGGGCACCCTGACTGGAGAGCTCCTATAAAAGGTGAAGTGATAATTACAATATAATTATTCACCTCCCTGTGGCAAAATCCCTTATGCAAGAAAACAACTGCAAAGTCACCTTGATCTTTTCCAAAACTGACTGTGAGATTCTATGACTTGTTGGGATTTGTGCTTCCTCTTTTTGAAACCCCCTTTGGTCTGAGCAGACCTTGCCCTGCACCCCCAAGGTTCTTGGCCCACTCTCCCACTTCTGCACTTACGGGCTGCACAGAGTCCAGGAGCTTTGTGAGCTGATAGAAGCGGCGTGAACAAGACGTGGGGTTCTTCCTTTTGCAGGCAATGATGCGGTCAAGCTCCTTGATATAGTTCATCCGGAGTTCATCAAAGAACTTCTGATTCTTCAGGCCATCCACTGGAACTGACACAAAATAAGAAGAGGAAATAAAAGGGATAGGAGCAGACAAAGGAAACAGCCTGAGAAACATTGAGGGGGCAGTGCCCGCACCTCTTTGGTGGAAGATGAAGGAGTCTCCTCACTTACAAAGGTGTAACCACAGCAGGGCAGCTGTCACATAGAATATAGAACATAGAATAACAGAGTTGGAAGGAACCTTGGAGGTTATCTAGTTCAACCCACTGCACTAGCAGGAGATCCTATACCTTTCAGTCAAATGACTGTCGTCTCTTCTTAAAAGCCTTCAGTAATAGAGCACCCACAACGTCTGAAGGCAACATGTTCCACTGACTAATTGTTCTCAATATCAGGACATTTCTTCTTCTAGGTTGCCTCTCTCCTTGATTTGTTTCCATCCATTGCTTCTTGCCTGGCCCTCTGGTGCTTTGGGGAATAGGCTGACGCCGTCTTCTTTGTGGCAACCCTTCAGATATTGGAAGACTGCTATCATGCCTCCCTTAGTCCTCCTTTTCACTAGACTAGACATATCCAATTCCTGCAACCATTCTTCATAGGTTTTAGCCTAATACAGTTTATTTGGAGGCTGTAGTTTCTTAAAGAAGTTGTGCCCATTAGCACTATGGCCCTCCTCTACTGTGAATCATTTACAGAAACAAACAAAAATGATGTTGAGACTCTAGAAAGAGTGCAGAGAAGAGCAACAAAGATGATTAGGGGCCTGGAGGCTAAAACATATGAAGAACGGTTGCAGGAACTGGGCATGGCTAGTCTAGTGAAGAGAAGGACCAGGGGAGACATGATAGCAGTGTTCCAATATTTGAGGGGCTGCCACAGAGAGGAGGGGATCAACCTATTTTTCAAGACACCTGAGGGCAGACAAGGATTAATGGATGGAAACTGATCAAGGAAATATTCAACCTACAAGGAGAAATTTTCTGACAGTGAGAACAATCAGCCAATGGAACAGATTGCCTTCAGAAGTCGTGGGTGCTCCTTCACTGGAGGTTTCCAAGAAGAGACTAGACAGCCATTTGTCCAGAATGGTACAGGATCTCCTGCTGGAGCAGGAGGCTGATCTAAAATACCTCCAAGGTCTCTTCCAACCCTGTTATTTTATGTTTTGTTCTAAGTACAAAGACAGCTAGATGAAAAATGCTACAGCTTACTAATACTGAAGAGGAGCAGAGCCTTCATACAGAGAAATTCTTGAGGAGTAATCTGAAGCCATCCAAATTCTTGGGAGAGATGCCGCATCCTGACACATTGGCTATACATTCTGGATTTGTGCATTCGGTACCTAGGAGAAGAAAAGAAGAAAAGCATAAACAGGAGAGAATCAGCTTACAACTTCGCCTTTTTTACAAGAACAAATTCCACACATGTTGTACACTATTTGAGAAATTTCTAAATGTTACCATTTCAGTTTTGATGCCAACTTAGTATCTCTTCCTGTTCAATGCAAGTCATCTGAAGCGTCCATCAGTCATATAATGCTGCAAGAAAATGACCCCTCCCTCCACAAAGGTTCTCATAGCCCTAAGTTCTGACCCAGTTGTGCCCCCTTCTGTAACTGCAAAATTCCACAAGCCGCCCCCACGATTTCTACCTGGTCCCTTAATATGAGAAAGCTATAGCAAGGAAACACTGATGCCCTTCAGCTAACAGGCCCCACTGGGAAATTAGTACCAAAACAGCACACACACCCCAGCTCTAAGGGGCTTCTTGTCTTCAAGCTGCAGTTTATTCCTGCTGGTTTTACTATTCACTGAGCCACGTTACATCTCTTCTATCAACTTTTGTTCAGTAAGGTTGACTGAACAGAGTGTCTGGGTTGTGGATACGTGTATGTCTCCTGAGGAATGAAAAGGCAGATGAAGAGACGTGGAACCTGCCAACTACAGATACCCAGGAAGCCTGAAGAGTGCTCAATCTCCCATCCTTCTATTTGCACATCCACTTGGACATCTGAGATTCCAAAGAAATTTCCCCTCTGCTTCCTCTCAGAGTGGAAACAGATCTGAACTTATCTCACAGAGCCACCAAGTCACGATGGACAAATGTCATGGAGCAGCCTTGGGGGAAACTGCCATATGTTGCTTCTGCCCGAGATGAGCCAAGAAGGAACTTTCCTGATATGGTGATGGCATATCTTCTTCATGTATGTAAGGGCAGGAAGTTCTAGGAAAGAAACACTGACCAGGAAAGGAGCAAACAGATCCAAGATTGCCTGATGCCAGAAGAACAGAGGCAAGCAGGGCACAATTTTCCAAGATAGGGCTACCATCACTTTTTAAAAATATTTCATAAAGAACCAGAATTTTGGCAAGAAAACCATACCCATATTTGTGCACAACACAGAAAATGAAAAACAACCCCCCAACCACACAACACCGAATTCTGCAATTTGTGTCTAACATCGAAAAATGTGGAAAGAAAGCTAGAATCTAACTAATGTTGCAGAAAGAAAGTTGTTTCTGCTAAGAGAAAGCTGTTGGATATCCATGGAATTATGTCATTATGCTGAAGCTGGGAATATAGGCTGTTCTGATGAGAAGGAAGTTTTTGGTTGAGGGCAGGAGGGGGCATGCATGCATGTAGGTGTAGCTGTTTGCTGAAGACTCTTGGGAAGTAATAGTACCTTTCCCTCTTTTTTAACACAATAACAGAATTGGAAGGGACCTTGGAGGTCTTCTAGTCCAACCCCCTGCTCAAGCAGGAGATCCTATACTATTTCTGACATGTGACTGTCCTGTCTCTTTTTAAAAACCTCCATTGATGAAACACCTACAACTTGTGAAGGCTGTTCCACTGGTTAATTGTCCTCACTGTTAGGAAGTTTCTCCTTAATTCCAGGTTGCTTCTCTCCTTGATTAGTTTCCATCCATTGTTTCTTGTCCTGCTTTCTGGTACTTTGGAAAATAAGTTGACCCCGTTCTCCGTATCAGCCCCTCAAATACTGGAATACTGTTATCATGACACCCCTGGTCCTTCTTTTCTCTAGTCTGGCTAAACCCAAGTCCTGCAAGTATTCTTCATATGTTTTTGTTTCCAGGTCTTTAATCATCTTAGTTGCTCTTCTCTGTGGGGAAGGCCACCAAAACACTGCCTTAGGCTAGAGAAACTTGGGAGGGGAAGTCATTGAGTTCAGCCTGTCGCCAAAATGGGCTGAGGAACTCTGACCCCAGCGACCAATGGTCACGAGCTGATTGATACCAACTCCGACTCTATCTATCAATTCCTGAAAGAAACAAAGATTCATGTCATTACTGTCTCTTCAGCTGCTGGAAGATTTCACACAAGAGCATATTCTGAATATGTAGATGTCAAGAAACTAGAAAGGAATCCGGGAAGTTTTAGGGTTGGAGTTACAGAATTATCACCATGTTATGAAGCATTCTTCAAAAGTAACCCTTTGTGCAATCAAACTGTTATTTTTAGTTTAGGCCCATCCAACCAAAGGATAGACATGTAAGTATGTCTTCTTCTCTTCCCATCATAGCATGCATTCAGTCAGTGTCTAACATCCTTTTCATTAGATTATGGATAGTTCACAATGAGTCAGAAGAATGCTTTGGAACTTTCACAATCACAAGCTTCTCTTTGTTGGTTATTAAAGCAGCCATGTTTTTTTCCAAGTTTCTAAATAACGCTAAGCATATATGGTATTAATGGTATGGTTGACATTAAAAGTATGCTGTTTTAATGAGTCCACTCATTAAAGTTGCTGGATCTTTTCCCCCCGACTTGTTTAATAGTTTGAAATAAAATATGGCTGTCTTAATGACTAACAAAACTTGAAAGCAGTTCTTCCAAAATATGTATTACTTACCTATTTCCCTCCCTCCCCTGCCTATTTCCATAGTTATTCTTAGGGTGGAAAAATATCACGAAGGGAGCTTTTTTCAGGGATATTTTTTAATGAGCCAGAGTTATCTTATAAACTATAAAATCTTCCAAATATGCCACATTGTAATGGCCAGCTAACAAGCCTTGGAAATGGATCTTGCCATATATAGTATCTTATTTATAGTACTTAATTATTTGACAATTAGGCCATATCAGAATACAAAATTTAATATATAGAGCAATAAAATCATTACCTAGAAAATATTGTAAAATACATAAATAAAAGAAAATGTAAATCTTAATTTCTCTGTCACCCCTACAATTTATCCCCTAGCTTCCAATCTAAGTTGTTCTCAATTGTACTGTTTTGTTTAGATAAAAGGTCTTCTTGAAATAGGCCCTCCCAGAAGGCTGTGGTGCCTGTTCTCTCAGCATTTATGGCACATGCAGCTGCAGGCAGGGTCATCTGAAAACAAGCATGCAAGAGTACACAGCTGGGTCCTCAAAATTCATTTCTGCTCTGTAATATCTGGCTATAAAGGTCAACCTGAATCCTTCTCTAATGGATGACCAGGGATTGAAGTAACTGAATACATGAACTACCAGAAACTCTGGTAGTCAAATGTTATCAAGAAGAGAATATGGGAAGTCCTCTCTCTGGCCAAGACCTGGAATAGAGAAGCTAGAAGTGCAGAAAACCATGGCTATGCTTGGGCCAAGATAGCTGCACGTGAGGTGGTGTATTGCTTTACAGAACTTTGATCTTCCAAGGTGGATCATCAGCATTTTATGCTAGAGATGAACAAAACATGAAATATTTTAAAAGATGCACAAACATGAGGAAAGGACCAGTCCTTGGCCATTTGAGAAAATATAGTGTACGCCTGGAAAATAGATATTCAGTTTACACTTAAACATTTCTACTGAAGAACCTTTTATTAAACACTTCTAATTAGGAAATATCTCATGTTTAGACTTAGAGTTCTACTTTTCTACTCATCTACTTTCCAGAAATTTCAATCTCTACATCTGCCTCTCAGAGAAGAAGAGAGTATATGAAACAAAGCAAAAGTTGCATAGAATTAATATTGTGTGGCCCCCACATTTTGCCTTTTGACTCTTGTGTAAATGTAATCTCACCCAATCTCAATGACATTGCGTTCAAGGAATGGAAACCTTCAACATTTTTCTGAAAAGAGTCAAGCAGACAGTTTGAGTGCCAAACGTTTGACTTTGCACAACAGACCTTCCTTTTACTGAGAGCAGCTTCTTGGTCTTGTGGCTCACTCGCTCTGCCGTGCCTGAAGGAAGGAGAGTGTTTCCTCTGACTTTCACTTAAAGCAAACGGCAGGATAACATCCTTTCCACTTTCTTCAGCTTTATACATTAATCAAGTCTAACATGAAAGAAAGAAAGAAAACGTACTCATTGAAGACCAAATCTGGAGCAAAATAAAGCATCCGGGAATTCACATTGGTGAAGGACCTCCATCCCATGGCAAAAATCATCAAGCCCATCCAGGAGTACTGAATGATGGCCATCTGGTCATCCACGTGCAGGTTACGGAACCCTGGGGGGAAAAGTCAGAGAGATGGAGTCAGGAAAGCTCTTCCTTCAGGTCAAGGAGCAGCTGGGTCTTGGGCTGGGCTCCAGGCTGCTGGCACCTCGAGACGAGCCCTTTGGGGAGCAGAAGCCTTTCTCTAGCAACCGGTACAGCCCACCCTGGGGCATTTTAAATCTGGTAGCTAGAAGGGAGGGAAGGAAAAGTCATATACAAAATGAACCACTTTCTTACTGACGGTTTGCCTGACGGTTGTTATTACAGTTCAAGCTATCTTTCTCTTTATACTGCAGGGATCAGCAAAAGAACAAAGGACTTATAATTAGAGATGAAATTAGAAAGAAAATAAACTAAAGGCTCACACCATAAACTATTTGGATTCCAAGTTTCATGCAGTCTGGACTGTATGTATGACTTCATGTGAGGAGAGAGACATTGTCAAAGATCCGCCAGGACGCCTTGATAAAATCCAGAATTTTCTCAAGTAGAATTATGAGAAGTCCATGTAATTTGATGCCACATAGTGTGGGTCACACTTCAGTCCCCCCCAAACAGATTATATTTTAAATTTTAAAATTATATTTGTAATCTCACTGGTATTTCCCTCTTCATTCTAAAAGCATCTCTTAAGCCTTTATAATTATTAAAAAAATATGCCTAAAGCATTTAATCCATTATTATATTTGCTCCACTTAAAACTTCTCATCAGCTAGATTTGCAGACTGACAGGAAACCAAGCATTTTTGTTGCCACGGCTAACACAAGCCTTTGTTTCATTCCTCTTCTTGGCATCTGGAGGGTGGCGAATGTGCTGAAATGAGGGATCGCAGAGAAAGAGAACTCTCAATAAAGCTAAAATTAGAAACTACCTATGTCTTTTTTTTATTAAAAGTTTTATAAAGTTTACAATATAAATCCCCCCCACCCCTACAACCCCCCTCCCCCCACTTCCCAGAGCTGTTCACAGGGTTACAAATAATAATCATAATCTAAATAACATAAACCAACTAATTATATAACCAAATCTATAACACTTTAACTCATTTAAAAAAAAATAAATTTAAATAAGTTAAAATTAAAATTAAATACATTATTAAAAGAAGAAAAAACCAAACAAACTAGTAAACAACACTACTAGTCAAAATTATAATAAAATCATACAAGCTATTATGCAAACACTTAATAAAATAATAACAATAAAAATATTTTAAAATTTTATCCAAAAGCCAAATGGAACTTTTCGGTCCCATATTTTTTTTGAATATAATCTATCCATCTTCTCCATACCGAAATATAACTTTCATATGACTGATCCTTCAAATAAGCAGAAATCTTAGCCATTTCCGCTAAATTTGACACTTTAATTGACCATTCTTCTACAGTAGGCAAACCATCCGTCTTCCAATATTGAGCTACCAATAATTTTGCAGCTGTTATAAGATTCAACATCAGATTCATTTCTTTGGCATCCAAATTTCCCATAATACTCAACAAAAATAACTGCGGTGTAAACTTTATCTTCTTCTTAAAGATATTTTGAATATTCCACCAAATCTTGATCCAAAATGCCTTTATATCCCTACACGTCCACCAAATATGGAAGTAGGTTGCATCTAAACTTCCATATCTCCAGCATTTGGGCTGTAAGTTGGGATACATGCGTGACAATTTTTGAGGATCCAAATGCCATCTATAAAACATCTTATAAAAATTTTCTCTTAAATTTTGTGCTTGAGTAAATTTTACATTTCTTACCCAAATTGTCTCCCATGTATCCAATGGAATCACTTCCTGAATATTCTGCGCCCACTTTATCATACAATC